GAACTTGGGCACAGCTCTTGGATCGTGGACACAGGGCTTCACGGAAAAGTTGCAAGTTGATTGGCTACAGATCTCTCAGAACTAGAACTTGGACCAAGTCCTAGCATCGTGGACACAGGCCTTAAGAGATGCAAGTTGACAAGTTGATTGGCTACACATTTTTCAAAACTAGAACTTGGATCGTGGATACAAGGCTTTAGAACTTGGACCAAGTCCTAGCCTCGTGGACACAGGCCTTTAGCCGAAGAAAGCAAATTCAGCAAATTCATGTGCGTTTCGGGGTTCGTCGAGCAGAGGGCGCCGCGGTCCCTTTGCCCGCGCGAATGTATGTGTGCTGATTAAAATGGCTGCCATGGCGCTGTACCCGCTATACCATTTGAGCGAAATTTACTGCCACAAATTATAACGTAAACTCTTTTTCCAAAAGTAACGGGCGGACCGCGCCGTCGGGTCTCTGCTCGATCATGGAGAGCCAAAGTAACGAATTGGTGGTGGGCATGTCGACCACTACGGGGATGTTGCCCGCGCTGCCTGTGGCGGTAGTAAAGGAGGAACCTGCAGAGCAAAACAGCTCTAAGCAGGACACGCAACAGGCCCAGGTACAGGACGCGAGTTGCATCGAGGAGGAGTGCAACGACCAGCGTATCGAGTGCACCACCGAGAGCCAGGAGAGCGAGATCCGTGCGTTTTTGTCCAAATGTGTCTTTTGCAGTAAAGTGTTTACCATGGGGGACGACCCAAAGCTCCTCGAGTGCTTACACGCAGCCTGCACGATATGCGTCAATAATAAGATCAGCGAACACAATACGTCGGTCGATGTAGACGTATTATGTATGTAACATGCATATGTTCCTCTTGTGTACCTCTGTAAAGTTGCTCTCGCCAAATCTGAGGCGTGCTCTTCCGCTAGATTTAGTAACATTAATTGTTACGCTCCTACTCTGATGTATCTCTCGTAATTTTACGTGAAAATGCACTTTACATTTGTAGCAATGTTATCTTTTGCAGTAGAGAGTAACGTCATTATGTGTCACATTTGTAACGTAACCAGCCAAGTGGAAAATTTGATCGAGAACAGATTTCTCTCGAAGCTGCTGGAGGAAGAGAGCAATCTAGAAATGGACGACGAGGCTAAAGAAGCCGAGGATGAGAAGAAGTGCACTAGCTGTCACGATAACATTGTTGCTACCAGTTGGTGCGTCGAGTGCGAGGAATTAATTTGCCAGAATTGCGTTTTGGTTGGTTACGATTATAGATTATGTATTAAACAGCAAGCGATATATATACACATGTACATGTACACCATCCATGTACCTCTCGGATTAAAGAATGGATTGATCATGTTGGATGAAACTGTTTCAAGGCTCATCAAAGATTGAAGATAACCAAGGATCATGTAATTAAACCCAAGGATGAAATAGCCAACGACAGAGACAATGTTAAAAGAGGAAATAAAAAGATACCTGGCTATTTGTTCTGCACAATTCATCCCCACGAACAGTTATCCTTGTTTTGCCAGACGTGCGATAGATTGACCTGCAGGGACTGTCAGCTCAGCGAGCATCGTGATCATAAATATAAATTTATTCATGAGATTGCAGCCGAAACTCGTACTTCCATGTCGATTTTGCTTAAAGAAGTAAGGTAGGATCTGTAGATCTTGGCAATTGGTAGAATAGTGGAGGAATGCAGATTTAAAAAATATTATTTTCAGCTACAAACGAGTACTACTGAAAAGTGCGATGAAAGTTATAGAGGATAGACAGATTTTAATATTGGAGAAGAAAAAGAGCCTCGTTCAAGAGATAACACAAATGGTAGTGCAGTAAGTATAAGTTGCAAGTGCAGGTCTGTATTGGGATATGCGATTCGTATTGCTAATATTTTGTCCTTTTCATGTCAGATTAACGAATGCTATTAATACAAGAGGGAAGCAATTGGTGATGAGATTAAATGAAGTTTGCGATCAAAAGCAGAATACCTTGAATGAGAAGAAAGTTGCTTTAGATCAGCTGTCCAGGCTTACGGATCATTGTATACTCTTTGGCACTCATGCTTTGAAGAAAGGCTCGGACATGGAATTGTTATATAGTAAAAAGTATACTGAAGTTACATACACACAATTCTATTTTAATGCCACGAAAGAATTGCACAAGATATTTCATATTGTATATCAAATTATGTCCGAGTAAAATGTGAAATGTCACTATAAATTATTAATATTTCGTATATTATCTTTGTACTCTCTTCAATTTACGTTAGAAGAGTTGTGTTTTATTTCCGTAAAAAGTAAGTGATTTTAACTATCCTGATGGCTTTGAGGCTGCTGATTACTATCTTTTTATATCCTCGGAATCAAATAATTTGTGTCTCGAATATTTATTCACATTACTTAATTTAAAAGTTTTTCAATTGTTGGAGTTAAGTAGAATTTTCTATATGAACACATTCAAATATACGAAAATATATGTTAAATATATTTTTATAGATCTGTTACAAGTCATTTGCAAAGAATAAAAAGTAGACGGGCCGATATTCCGAATCCCGAGATACCCGTCAGAATACATTTGTCTTTGGAAAAGGTTCCAGATTTAATAAAAGGTTTGTGACACACAACATTAAGCAGTTTCTTATCCTGGCTTAATCAACAATTATTACTGAAATTAAAGAAAGTAAATAATTTATTATATCTTGCACTTGCAGTGGTGTCATCAATTGGAGCAATAGTCGTCGATGGTAGGGTATATCCGTCCGTATCTCCTATAGCCAGCAATAACAGCACGGTGACTTACAACGAGTCGCAAACCGAGCAGAAGCAAACGACGAATTCGATGAATACTCACATGGACGGTACGGTTCCCATTGTCATTCAACAGGTATTACCAATGCCTGCAATAGCTGCGCAGCAACCCACCAGTGCGCCACAGAGTTCTTACCAGCAACAAGCACCTATACCTATCCCGCAGCAGCAGCAGCAGCAGCAGCAGCAGCAACAACAACAGCAGCAGCAGCAGCAGCAACAACAACAACAACAACAACACGCGCAACAATCACCGAATTATATGCAACAGTATATCGCACCGCACAGTATGTCACCTCGATCATCGCCGCAAGCGCATCAGCCACGGGTGCCGTATTCAGTCACCTACAGCAATAACAGAGTACCGCAACCTTCGTTGATGCATCAACAACGCCCGTTAGGTACCTGCCATCAGCAACAAGTGACGTCGTCCACGCATCCACATCAGCAAGCGCAGAGCTTGGATCAGCTTGGACAGAACACGAGTTTACGCGGGCTTCTCGCGCACAATTCTATTCCACCGCCTCCTTATCCGTCATTCCGGGCATCCGCCAATCATGTACCATACCGATTCTCCCCCGGATACAGATATTCTTCGAGTGGTAATCCGCAGAGAGTCCAAGTACCGCCACCTCATACATATCAACCGGCAAGTACATCCGTCGTACCTGTGACGACACGTTTGCAACAATGCAACTTGACTTCCCCGTCAACGCAGCACATCGGGAACTATCCCATTCATCGTTGGCATATACCACAACAAGCGAATCCTTGCCTTCCTTACACGTTGCCTCGACAACAACATATGCCCACTTACGTGCCAGTTCCTACCAACGACACATACAAAATTACTTTAAGAAATCAACAGGCCGGCAATAATCAAAAGTACAGCACCAATGTAAGTGCCAATTCGTGTGATAATCCGCCACAGTTGCAAACATCGGCCACTGTCTCGTTGTTACACGCCGTCAGCTCATCCATACCCAAAACGCCCAGTCCTGTCACCACTCCTGGCAAGTCGGACGACACCGAAAAGAGTTTAGATAAGTTTTGTCAAAAGTCATTGAACGACCTAATGCTCACTATTGCAAAATTAGATAGTAATGGAATCCTAGTGATACCAGAAGCTCAAAGAAATCAGATAGATTCGGCACAAGTCGACAGTTCCACCGACGAGGATATTAACTCGATGGCTGAGAATACAACGGGTTAGTTGGATCTGTTACTTCATTCTATCGGCTCTAAATGTTAATCGCCTTTGACGCGCGTGTGGTCAAGACCTGGCTTTTTTCTCATAGCAAGTTGTGTCTCTCTTTCAGCAGACAATCCGAAAAATGCAACCACTTCTATAGTCCTGAAGGACGATCCGAACGAAGACTGGTGTGCCGTGTGTATGGACGGGGGAGATGCGGTACTATGCTGCGACAAATGCCCAAAAGTCTTCCATCTTTACTGTCATATACCTAGTTTAAAATCATTTCCAGAGTAAGCTTCCCATTCACAGTGTATCTTTATCTCGCTTGCCTGCTCTCCGCTCTTGTTAATCAGCCGACGGTTCTTTTAGCGAGAGCGAAACTTGGCAGTGTATGCTGTGTACAAACGTACTCGACTGTCCGGACGACGGATCAATCACGTCCGTTGAGAAAAGGTCAAGCGGTATGAGCACTAAGGAATTGCGAATCGCACAAAGGATCGTCTTGGAGCTTTATTGTCAGTATGAGCAAAGCCTACCTTTTCGGGAGGTCGTGTCGAGCGAGGTGAGTGGCCAGGTAGCGCAATCTTTATTCGCGATACCCGATTGACAAGGCAAGACAATCTAACGATCGTTTTTGTCATCAGATTACAGACTATCATCGGATTATCAAGAAGCCAATTGCGTTGGACATAATCAGGGACAAATTGAAACCCGATCATGTAGAGCATTACACAGATCTGAGACAAGTCATGGCAGACATCAGACTCATGTTTAAAAATGCTTTCACCTACAATCCTGTAAGCCGATCGAGATTCTTAAATTTTTATTTCATTTTATTTACCATCGTCACCTCCCTCTCGTGCTCCTGTCCGTATCACTCTCTTTGCTTTTTCAGGTGGATTCGCAAGTTTATCAAGAAGCTAGAAATTTAGAAGAGTTTTTTGAGAAGTTGTTATTAAAATGGGCACCAAATTATGCGTACGACGATCCTTTTCTCACAACCGACAAGGAGGAAGACGAAGAAGTTTTTCCACCCAATAGAAAATACAGACGGATAATTAACGATTAATAGGGGTACGCGAATTGTCGAGTACACCTCATCGGAATTGTTGCGTTTAGGATTAAATTATTTTCACCATTTTATAACAGTTGGACTATGCAGTTGATAATTTGGTAGAATGTGATAAATACTATCGAAACTGTCGTAATAAGGGAAATTCCTAGAAAACATTGCAAAAAGTGATGATAGCGCAGGAGCGTTCTTTATCTGAAATATAATAAACAATTTTTCTTGGTTTTCTCGGTTTCGCTGTTAGAATGATATTAATTAACATTTCACAACGACAAGACCATTATAACATACAAACTTTTTTGACGCACGTTTCATTTCTGGAATATATATTTTAATATATATATTAATATATATTAATATATATTTAATATATATTTATAAATATTTAATAATATATTAATATATATTTAATATATATTTATAAATATTTAATAATATATTAATATATATTTAATATATATTTTAATATATATTCCAGATGTGCTAATTTTTAATTACAATCGAGTATAAATAGTATATTTTTAGAATATTAATATGATATTGCTTGAAGTTTTATTGCATTAGTAAACTATACAAATGTTTAAGAGGATCCCTCAACCATTGTGTACAAAAGTTAATAAAAAGAATTACAAGCGCAAAAACTATATTTGACTGTGTCGGTAAAAAAAGATGGCTGAAGTAATTCGCAGATGGTTGAGGAATCCTTGCAACATAATATTTGATTAATAAGTTAATTAATTGTACAACTGTTTGTTGAATAATGTTTCCTTCGATATTCGATTATCTCGTCTTTTTACTCATCGTATGCAAAAGAATATTTTATAAAAAATATACACATATAGAGATAAGAATATAATAAAGTTCCATTTATACTATTTTTACTAATTGTAAGTGGCTAGCTTTCCTTTAGGCGCACAATTTCTTTCACAATTTCTCCAGAGAGCGTATCGTTTTATCCTTATTTAACATTCGGTGAAGAACAAGGATAAAATGATACACTGGGGCACTCGGGCGATGTTTTCGAACGCAACTAAGATTGCTGCGAATGACGGTACCGTAGGTATCAAAACAGATATTAATAGACGAAGGAAAAATATCAAAGAGCTATTAAAAGTCGCAAATAGCAGAAATTATGTTAAAGATTTTGATCTGTTATATAAGTCGAGAACTTGTTAAAATAAATTTAATATTCTTATGTTATAGATATAATCTTAATATTGCTTTATACAAACGATAAAATTTATATTTTATTATTATGTATTTTTACAGATTTGCTTGTAACAATAATATTTATACATATATATATAAATTAAAATAAATTACATTAATTTTTTTATTAATCAACACCATGGTCCGAATTAAACCCAGTTCTTGAAAAGAGCGCTGTAATTTGAATTTGTGGCGAACAGTGTCCGAGTTTCGGCTATGTTCAGTACGTTCAGTAGTAAAGTCCAGTTTACACCGATCATTTGATACGCGTATTTATGTCAAATAGTGCATTTCAAGCCTATCACACAATGCGAGGCAACAGGCAACAGGAATAGGGAATAGAATTTTTGACGCGTTGGATTGGTTGAAGGAAAATTTCCGACGAATCCAACGCGTCAAAAATTCTATTCCCTATTCCTATTCTCTATTCCTATTGCCTGTGCTTTCCTATTGTGTGACAGGCTTCAGCCTATCAGCCAATGACTAAATCCATTTACTAATTATTTACTATTTGATACGCGTATCAAACAATCGGTGTAAACTAAAGGCTACAGAATCACCGGCTGCGTTCAGCAGAAAAAGCTATCTTTGCAACTGTTGTAAAATTCGAGAATCTGATTAATGTATTCTTTTAGGCCCGGTTTCACCCACGTCGCTTAACTTTAAGCTTAGTTTAATTCGTTCTTTGCCTCTTGCCACCTGTTACTTTAAAAAAAGACAAACATAAATTAAACTAATAAGATTAAAGTTAGGTGTTTGGTGAAACCGGGCTTTAATCTCATCTGCCAATCAGATTCACGAATTTTACAACGGTTGGACAACAGCATTTTCTGCTGAACGCGGCCATTGGGCAGTTTTTTCCTATGAACGCAGCTTTAGTTAACTCTACATGTGGATGTCACTTTGCATTTTCTATTGGTAAACATTGCAGTGTCAACGGATCAAAAAATAACCTTTCAAACACTCCGATAATCGTTTGATACTTAAAGTAATTTTCATTTAAGTAATTTTTCAGAATTAATACGATTAATACTTGGCGCTCCGTCAGATTGTTCTCTCATGACTTTTTCTGCTGAGAAGGCGACGACAAAAAGTAATGGAAGTAACGTGACAAATGGGCAAGACTCAAGTGGACCGGTTTATTTTTACCGGTAAATATTTACGCGTGACGCTGGGATTGCAAGATGTAAAGTCGAAATTGTGAGAGGAAGAGCAAGATTATGAAACAATCCCGTAAACTACGTCTTTGTTTCAGGTTATTTGCACGTCTCGCCTGCAGTCTTTCGAACGCGCCTTAACCTTTAAATACATTTCGCGCCAAACTATGCCACGTTTGGCATCGCATTTTTCAATGCTGTAAAGAGGCTTATGCCTTTTTTTAAAGTAAGTTATTTTCACCATCCACATCGAAGTATTCCTGGCAGAATTTCAAAGCATTTTTGTTTCGACGTTAATGTCAGCTGACTCTTCTCCAGAATCCAATGTAAGGCAGCTTATGTAAACAGGAACAGTTGGGCCTGGTTTCACCAACGTCGCTTAACCGCAAGTTTAGTTTAATCCGTTCTTTGTCTCTTTCCAAATGTTACTTTAGAAAGAGACAAGTATGAATTAAACTAAGATTGAAGCGACGTTTGGTGAAACCGGGCCTTAGTCGTACATTGCTAAGTCATGCTTGGAGCAAAAGCTGTATTCTAAATTAATAAATTTTATTATCTCACAACGTCGGATTTGATGTTTCGGACCGAGTATGTTTAATCGTTAATTTATTGCTGAGGAATAACATTTTACCTTATACCGAAACGTACAATTGTATTGCGAGATTATGTGGTTTTTAGATTAAACATCTGTTGATGTCAATGTTATATATATATACAAATTTTTTACACCATTTTCAACGGGTGACTGCTCACATTGCCTAAACGTTTTCCAAGATTACCTTCGTTAATTTACTCGTTTACATTTTCTGTTAATAAATTTGATCTAAAATCAGTGATTTTCAGACATGAATATGGAAGTGGAAGCTTCTATAGCCGAGCGCCTGCAGAAGCTGAGGCAGTGGCAGTTTGAGCAGCAGGAGAGACTGCTAAAACAACAACGAATACAAAGGGAGTTTTTGAGCCACGAGCAGGATCGTTTTTACAAAGCATTCGGCTTGTCGACTTCGCACGACTTCAGTAACATTGAAAGTACAGACGACACGTGTATCGCGCCTGAAGTACAAATAAATGCGAAAGAAACCACGTCTGGCGAAGCTCCAATGCTTCAATGCGATGCGGAGAATTCAGACGATACACTAGAGATAATTGACGAAGAGGAGTCAACGAATGCCGACCCGTCGTACGAAAACTGCAGCGAGGAGCAAAGCGACGAGCAAAGCGACGATTCAGATCGCGCCTCCACGGTTGTCGACAGAAGCGGAAGTTCCATGAGAGATCCTGGTGTATCGTCGCAGGGACTGGGCGATTCGTTGATAGAAGGGATAGAACCGCTGTCGTTGGATAACAAATGCGTTTCGCTCGACGACGTTCCTCTCCCGTCACCTAGGAAAGATTTCCAGACGTTGCTGGAGGAGAAACTGAAGCGAGAGCCGGAGAGCACATCGAGTGCGCGGACCGACGCGAGAGTCAAGCCGAAGAGACCGTTCCTGAAAAAGGGCCAAGGCTTGTCGAGGTTTAAAATGCCCACAGATCTGCGTCTTTCGTCAGCGCCTCCGAAGAGGTCCAACGCTTTATCATCCGACACGCGACGCGTCGATAAGAGCAAGAAATCCGCCGCGCATAAGCAAGCACCTGCGAAAACTTTGAGCAACGTTTCCGTCGCGAAGCGACGGTCAAACACGAAAACTGTTTCTCTACCGGGGAGGAAGGTTCCCGGTAAATCCGCCGCTCTTGATCGAACCGCGCATAACGTTGCTTCCACTCGATCGGGACACCCGCCGGAAGCGAACGTGTCGGATTGCGATTCGAAAGCGGCGAGAGAAGAAGCGGAGGAGGTGAGGATCTTCGAGCTCTTGGAGGAGAAAGCGGAGAACTCGAGCTTCTGCTCGACGTCGAGCACCGTGCTCGCGTTTCTGCAGCAGTCGACGCCGTTTAAAGTGAGGGGCAGATTGAATGAAGCTGGGAGGGACAGCGGTGCTGCGGCGAGTGTGTCGGCGGCTCTTCGGCAGGTCGCCCAGGCCGGAAGTTCGAAATCTAGCGTACGACGCCAGGACGAGCCTCGTAAACGACCCCACGCCAACGTCGACTCCTACTGGGACACCGTGACGGTCGACAACCTGCCGGAAGACACGCGTAATTACTTTGCGTCCGTTAATCGAGCGTTGCAGAGCGGCGAGGCGTACACGAGGCGTCCGGAAAATTACGACGCGGTATCGAACAGCGACGAGGAAAGCGACGCTTTCGCGGGAAACGCTCGCAACTTGACGCGCGACAGCGAGGCGGACGCCAGCCATCACGTTAGATTCTCGGAGTACAACGAGTACAGAACCATAGACTTGATCGACGTGTCTGACACGGCGAGCAGTCCCCCTTTGAGAGATTATCTCGAGCGGGAGAATTGGGACGATTGTTCCAGCGACACGTCGGGGTCGTCCAAGGGCCAGCCGTTTGATCGCGAGGAACGAAATTCCCCCCTGCAGATTGTCAACAGCGAGAAGGCAGTTGACGGTTCGAGACTGTCTTTGCAGCAAGACGTAGCAAGGCGCGACAAGAGAGAGTCGTACAGTCGCGTAATGAAAACCGCGCTCGTTTCCGAGGAAGAGGATATTTTGAGTTACAAAGACGAATCGCCTGACGAGGAAGCGTGCTACGACAACGAGCGTGCGCCGATAATCGAGGGAATTGTCCGAACATCCGACGAGGATCGGTCAGTCTTGTCGTCGTCGTCGTCGTCGTCGTCGTCGTCGTCGTCGTTGTCGGACACCCGGGAGTTGAGCACACGCGAGAGGAACGAGTACGCATTGAGAGACGAGCCGGAAGAGATAACGAAGAAGATAGCGGAAGTGTGCTTGAATTTGAGGGAGACCGGTCATCAGCAGTCCGAGGGACGGACGAGCCAAGCGGGTACGGAGCTTCTGAAGAGCCGTCTGCTGGAGCTCGAGAAAGAAATAGACATATTTCGGAAGGAGAGCTCGGCCCTGCTGCAGCAGCGCCGGAAGCTGCAAGACGAGGAGACGGGTCTGCGTAAACAATACGCGGAGAGAGAGAAGAGCTTCGAGGAGAACAAGAGGAGGGTGCAGAACCAATTGGAGGAGGAGAAGAGGAGAGTGACGCGCGAGAGGGCGGCGATGGAGAACCGGATTCGCGATGCTCAGGAGAAGGCGAAGCAGAGCAAAGTGGAGAGGCAAAGGGCGCAGGATCTGCGGGAGCAATTGGACCAGCTGCGGGACGAGCTGAACGTGAAGGAGAGCAGGTGGAACGCGGCCGAGTCGAGATACAAGAGCGAGCTGCGTGTGCTGCGAGTAGAAATCTCCAAGTTGAAGCAGGAGATCGCGGATTTGCAGACTGTCAAGCGCACGAACGCGAGAAATCTCAGGAGGACCACCGGGCAGGCGATCACGCGGGCCATCAATCAGATCAACAAGCGCGTCGTCGTGGCTCCGGCCAGAGACCCCCCTTCGACGAAGACGCGACGAGACTCGCCCGACACCTCGCCGGACACTTCCGTTCGCGACGATGACGACGAGGACGGGGACAAGAGTGGCAACAAGTCGATTGCAAGAGCGATTAATGCGAACGACGACTTCGGGCAAACAGAGCACGATGTGTCCGTGAACAAAGTAAAGTGCAAACAAATCGAGATTGAATCGCAGCCTGGAGGCGATCAAAAATTTCTGGAAGGATTCCTGGAGAAGAAGCGGCTTTTATACAAAAGCTTGCTGAAAGACGCGACCTCGGACCTGATGGAAAGTCCAAGTTCATTTTATCAGAAGAGGGACACAGCGAGCGACTTCCAGCCGACGGCTACACAAATGCAGAATTTCAATGCGAAGGGCAACGACAGGTTGCCCTACTCCGGTTCCGCGAGCGAGGACTTCGGGCGGGCAGCTTACGCTGCGACTGATATAGAGCGTCATACCGACAGATCGCGCGAGGCAAATCGGGACTCGGATGACAACGACGCGAGGATGGAGAAGAACGAGAGGAAGGATCGAGCAGCGTCGCCTGAGAAGAATTTAAATTCCACGTCGCATCCCGCCCCCTCTCAGAGTCAGATCGGCAGGGCGAGCGTGGACGCTGTGAAGCAGATTCAGTTTTCCGACGGACGCATAGAATACTGGTACCCGAACGGCAACGTGAAGAAGGTTTTCCCCGATCAGGAAGTGACGAAAATGATCTACTACAACGGGGACGTTCGCGAGACCGACAGGAACAGGAGAGTGAAATACTTTTATGCCGCGACTCGCACGTGGCACACAACGACTCCCGACGGTCTGCAGATTTTAGAGTTTCCCGAGTACGTCCAGTTTTCAGCATCGGTGATTTTTATTGACCATATCTGGCGATTTTTGTAATACAGAAAATTTATTGCGAAAAATATTACCTCAGCCAGGGTTTGAGCCTGAACCTCCCTTCTCTCTAGGCGGGCGTCTCAATCAATTCGACCACCGAGGCACGTCCAGTTTTGCCCCGTCGCGTTTGTACTTGTCCACAATTCGCCGCCTTGTCTTATTCTTTAAATAATTCAAAAATGTTCTCACTGTTTTGTTATAAACCAGCAATCTCCTTAACACGATTTAGAAGTCTATTTAAAAATTGGAATTCAAATTGCACAAAGCTACACAAAGAAATTAATTGATCGACATAAAAAGAAGAATGCCACATTATAGTAGTAGAGATACTCGACTTGATTCCTCTGTAAATAAATTTTGCAGAGGTTTCTATCTGTCCTTTCTATCTCCAACAAGCGTAGAACAAATGAAACTAATGAACAAGCGCTAAAAGATGAGGGCCTGAGCCGAATGGCTATCTTGTACTCTTTAAGACGCAAGGCAGTTATTGTGCGTTACTTTAAAGCCTGATCTACAATGTTCTCTTTGCCTAGAAACATTTTATTTTATATAAGCAAATCAAATAAAACGTTGTCTACAAGACAGCTGTTCTGCTCAGGCTCTAACAACAAAGTAATAATAAATTAAAATATAGGTGATGCATAAATAGTATATTAAGAAATTGCATGTGTATAATTACAGTGGTCAAGTAGAAAAGCGAATGTCCGATGGAACTGTCGAGGTGTTGTTCCCGGACGGGACAGTAGCGCAGACTTTTATTAACGGCGACAAGATTCTGACTTTGCCAAACGGCCAGAGAGAAATTCACACCAAAGAGCATAAGGTGAACGGGCATCTAAGTTCTTATTTATCACTTTGAACAGGGTTGGGAAAGTCACTTAATAAAAATATCTAGTTACAGTTACAGTTTTTAAAAATGTAACTTGTAACTGTAACTGGATACTTTTATAAAGTAACTTTCCCAACCCTGGTAATATTAGCCTTACTGTAACGCGTTACTTTTCAGAATTGTTAACTTGTAACTGTAACTAGATACATTTATAGAGTAACTATTAATGCAACTATTAAAAATTAGTTACTAGTTATTGAAAAAATGCAGCTGAGTTAAGTTACAGATGGAGAGAAAGTAACCAAGTTAAGTTAGAGTTACCAGAAGAAAGTAACTGTAACTGTAATTCCGTTACAAGTAACGAGTTACTTCCCAACCTTGACTTTGAATATATTGCTCCGTTTCTTCTAATGTACGCGCTCCGCTCTCTTATATGTAAAAACGTATGAACGTGCGAGTTCTTTATTTATTCAACAATATTTATGTATTTCAGAAACGAGAATATCCCGACGGTACTGTGAAATTTGTTTACGCGGATGGTACCCAAGAAACGCGTTATTCCAGCGGAAGAAAACGGTTGAAAGACAAGGACGGTAATCTCTTGATAGATTCGTACGACGGATAAATCTTTTTTTACCCTCTTTTTTTGTAAATTAAATTCAATACTGATTAAGATATACATATCAAGGGTCAAAGCATATACAATGTGTTATTATACGTCATCGCTTGTACTTGTAAATAACGTCTGATGTATAGCAATTATTTTTACAAGAAGTTGAAACTTTAAGTCGATTTTTTTTCATTCATAATAAGCGAATAAATGAAGACTGAGAATTTTTTATGCACAGAATAACTCCGCGAGTCAATACGCTTACTTTATATTGCTGCACTGGTGAACTAGCAATAAATTAGAGTAAGACAAGTGTTATATATGTTTTCTCATTCTAGCTTACCGCACTACTTCACCAGTGCAGCAATAGAAAACGAGCCTAATATAATGTTATTCTTCTAATAAATATTATGTGCCTTGTACATCACCATTTGTACCAATTTATGACTTGTAGAACACTAATTGTAAATTATTAGTTTCCTAGGGGAAGTAACTTAAAGTAATGTTATATGTATGAATTTATATTTTTATAATGCGAATAAATCGGACATCTTACTTCCGGTTCATAATAGCATAACTCTTGAGTTAGTAAAATAAATTCTACATTGCCCTTAATTATACACGTACAATTAACTACTTTGTTGTTCATAGAAATAATTGCAATATGATACAATTTAGTCCAACGTATTGTAGTGTTGAAATATTATCGCCACGTAAACTATTTACAGAGAAATCAAGTCGAGTATCTACTACTGTAACGTGGTCATTCTTCACTTTATGTCGACCAATTGATTTCTTCGTGCAGCCTGCGTGCAATTTGAATTCCAATTTTCAAACGGAAACGAAACGGTAAGAATTGCGTGCAACTTTTGCAAAACGTTATTAGAATATTTGGACGCGCATGGACCAAAGAGCCCAAGTTGCAATCTGTTTTACCAGCATTGCGATCTTAGGTCTGTTCTTTTCAGCTGCAACCAACCGCGCTAGTCCGGAGTGTCTCCCTCCCTCTACATCGGAAACATAAAGACGAACTCTGAACAAGCGTAGCCGATTCAGCCGAAAAGAATAAACCTGAGGTTACTTTCAAAATTTCGCTATTTCTTTTCCACGTAGATTATAATAATTGTCACAAGAATCGTTATTGATCAACGCGCGCGATCCCTCGTTTGATATCTTCCGCCATTGAACCCAAATGATAACAATTAAAAATATAAGTTAGACGCCGATGTCGCACGGTGCTCCCAAGCGAGCATCCGAGTGTCAACGAGCAAAATGTACGGTAAAGCGCGTGCATATGCTCGATTATAAAATTTAAGGATCGATCGCTTCGTTCAATCGCGTTGTCTTCCTTGTCTCTTCTCTCTCTCTCTCCTCCCACCCCCTCTCTCTCTCTCTCTCTCTCTTCCTCCCTCTCCCTCTGTCTCTTTCTGCCACCCAGCGATATCCCGTTCGCGAAGTCATGGGTTTCGCACGCAGTACGTAGCGCGCGTCGTCCTCGCCGATCGTCGCCGCTCGATCGCGCTCGCGACAACGGAGACTCCCCCCGTTGTCAGACGCTCCGATCCTCGGAACGCTCCGCCGAGAGACGCAGGGAGAGACGCGACTTCGTTGCTCTCGAGAGGGCCGTGGCGGCCCTCCTCCTGGCGAAACGTGAGTGACACGCGCGCGACTTTCGTACGATCCGACGCAGGGGGCCCGCGCGATTAACGATAAGAGGAGAGGACGAGGCGTACGCGCGGCCGACGAAACGCATCCCGTGGGGCTGTGTCGGGCGAGGGCACGAGCGCGCGGGGAGGGAGCGCTGACGGAGAGGTTATGTTGACGAGGAAATGAAGAATCGGATGATGTGTAAATGTCGGAATGGTTGATAAGTGGGGTGGCGCGGACAGGCGTAGATAATAGTATACATACACTATATATAGGCGGACAGACAGACAGAGATGGAGATAGAATTGTCTCTTCGCGACCGAGTTTTTGCGAGTAAAATCGCGGAAATGTAAAAACCGGATGACACTGGGAGGGGGGGGGGGGGGAGCCGCTCGTTGTAAGTTAAGACCCGGACGGTGCGCGAGTGCAGAACCGAACGCGGAGTAACGAGCGGACTGACGTAATAGTCGCTAAGAGAGAGAGAGAGAGAGAGAAGCGGTTATTATCGCGGATAGACACCTGACGAATTAGAATACCAGTTGGAGCGAGCGGCAGCGTATTCGCGGGGGGGAAGAGGAACGGGCGGGAAATTGATTCGTTGGAACGAGTTAAATGCATCGCAGTTGGGTGAAAAAAGTGCGCGCGGCATTGACGTAGTGAGGTTACAAGTCAGACGGAAAGAGAGGGAGAGAGAGAGAGAGGGGGGGGAGGGAAGCGGAGTGGTTTTTATTATTTCGGGTGAGTTTGTGCGTTCCCGTGTCGGCTGGAGAGACTGTGCGACTGGGTTGCACGTCGGGTGGAGGCGACGGAGAGTGACCTCGTCGTCTCGTTGCCTCGGCGATAAAAACGTCAAGTGCCACAATCGCGCGTAAATATTAACGATCCGCCAGAGAAGCCTACAAACAGAATGACGTGGTAAAGTCGCACGAGCTAGCGAATGACACGGGATAGGCGGAGCAGGGGGAGAGGGGGATTTATTTTCGTCCCTACTTTCGGCAGATCCGATTGGCGACAAGTAAAGCGGCCGCTGTTGCGCGTTTGTTCGCTCGATAAGGAAAATATTGGAATACAAACGGACAGCATTAACCGGGGAATATCCGAGGCCCGAGCTCCCCATCCCAGCGGATCTCTGGCGAGGATGAGGTGATCGTGTGCCGTCGAAAGTGTTTCGTTTCGTTTTTTGTTTTTGGGGTGCGCGCTAAGAATCGCGCTGGCAATTTTGTGGCAAACGTCCCCGGAACCTTGCAGGCAATTGACGAGTCGAGTTCGGTTGCGACTCCTCGCAGCGCCTCGACCTGAGACGCACCTGCCGCGATATTGCAATAGGTGCGAGTCCCGACTACACTCCGACCTCCCGGTGTGTCGCTCCGCGAAAGAAACTCCCGTGTTTCACCGCCGAGACGATTCCGCAGTAATCTTATCTAAGCGCTCCGCGCTCGACACCGCCAGATTTTGCGCCGAGCCCCCCCCCCCCGTTCGCTCCTTCCAAAATCGCGAATAGATTTCGATTCCGTTTGCACGTGTGCGTGTGGAGTACGCGACGCTGCTCGCACGGCCGTGTGCGTAAATAGAGATAAAAATTGCGCGACGCATTTCGATTTCGCGAATACATCTGCGTAAACCTCGTCGAACCCGTGGATCGTAATTTGCATCTTGAGCTAATTGAATCTACGATTATAGATGCATGTACGATTGTTCCGCTGCACGATATCAATTTTAACTCTTGCGAGTCGAGAGCTTTTAGGCGTAACTGGGAATGCGAGTTATCTTTCTCTCTTTCTCTCTCTCTCTCGCTCTTTCTATAGTTATTAACTAAGAAGCTATAATTAACTGTGCAAGTTACTTGAAAATTGTATCGTTGCCTCGAGCGACTGTTTTACAATTATCTTAAGCGATTGTCTAACGACACGAGAACGCTTGTAAACTCTTATTATGAACTTGAAGGATGAGCAAGACAAAGGAACAAGCGGGTTCGTCCAAGTCGTCCGGATCCGCGGGCTCCACCGAGGAGAAGGAGAAGGATGAGAGGATGTTCGAGTGCAATATTTGTTTGGACACCGCCAAGGATGCAGTAGTCAGTATGTGCGGCCACCTGTTCTGGTGAGCATTAATTTAACGAGAAAGAAAATGTAGCTCACACTGTTAAAGCGCGAAATGTTATCTACAATTTGAATGACATAAATGATAATAATGTAGTTGGCCATGTCTGCATCAGTGGTTAGAGACCAGACCCACCAGGCAGGTTTGTCCGGTATGCAAGGCTGCTATAAGCAAGGATAAAGTCATTCCATTATATGGACGTGGGGCCACGAAGCACGAAGACCCGAGGTAAAGCTAGAGCTTCTTTTTGCTGTCGCGCTTGAAAGTCAAATTATTACATTTTTTTTTCCGACGGGGGAAACCGCTGGGCGTATTGTGGTGTACAGATTTGCGGCATCACTGGGCATTTTTTGAGTATTAGTTCGGGCATTATAAGGATAAAATAAGATAAAACAAGATAAATGAGACAAAAGTATAATATTTCTCCGCCAGCAATTATTCAAATGAAGGGTGAATAATGCGACAGCACTGGCAACAGGAAAGCCTCCTTCATTGGCACAACGTTTCGGCCATGGGTTTTGGCCCTTGTCAAGTGCACTCAGACTAATTCAAACGGCGCATAGCACGTGGTTAAATGCCATCGGGCACCACTGTACAGAGCAACGAAAAAAAGACGAAGGGTAACATATTTATGTGTGAACAGGCTTGTAAATTAAAGTAACCGTTGCAGTAAAGTACAATTAAAGTTAAGTTGAGTAAGATAAATAAACTAAATGGGTTAAATAACTTAAACAAATAGATAAAATAGATTAAATAAGTAAAATAGATCCCTTGATTACGTACATTTGAATTACTGTTAAGCAAAGCCTATGTCACTCTAGACAGTTGTCATCATTACAGCGGCGCAGAAATAAGATTGGGATTATGTAGGTGAACGCAGTATCAAGGAACCAGATAAATAAGATAACAAAACAAAATAAGATATAGATAAGATATAGATAACAAAACAAAGTAATAAGATATAGTAATGCCCACTGGGCATTAGTGTACAAGATTTCGGTCGACGGTTTCCCCCTCGATTTCTTTCCCCGACGATTGTGTAAAAAGACATGTATAATATCACGTAAAATAATGAGTTTAATCAGTGAATTCTCGTCGCAGGAACAATGTACCGCCACGTCCGGCCGGTCAAAGGTCAGAGCCAGAAGCCAATGTCGGCTTCCCCGGCTTTGGCTTCGGCGATGGTTCCTACATGTCGTTCGGCATTGGCACTTTTCCGTTCGCTTTCTTCACGTCGACTTTTAATTTTGGAGAAACACGACCAAGCGCAGGTAACACTTGACGTGGGTTTAGGGGGAAAGGTACAATTTGACTTGTCTCTTTCGCAATTTAACAATTTTTGAAAATTGCGTAAAATCCAGATACGACCTCGCGAAAGAGACGAATCGAATTGCGAAATCATAGGACAAAACTACTAGTCTCTATATTGCTTTTTAAGAGACGATGATCTAGAGATAATTTGTAAAGGAAACAATTTATTTCCAGCTCCTAGAGGCACACCACAGTACGAGGAAGAGCAGTTTTTATCCAAGATCTTTTTGTGGTTAGCGGTGATATTCATCTTCTGGTTGATGATGGCATAACAATGTTTCTAAATCACATACCAGTCTGCCCAATAATTTATAATACTTCGTTTTACTTATAACATCGGATATATGTAAATGTAGAAATCAACGCGTCGCTGCATTGGCTCTTGCAGTTTCTTCGGAGGAAAAAAAACGAAAGAGCATAAAATTTATTTACGCGTATCTCAAAATTGTATGACTAAAAATTCGCCTCCTATTTTCACTTGAGAAAGGAGGAAGAGAGGTAACATCGAGTGTTTTGCCAATGTTTTACACGATTTCGTTTGGCATTTGCATACCTTGAACGGAATGGTCCTTCTCCCATTTGAATATTTCTGATATTTTGATGTCACTTTTTTTATGTACATATTATATATAAATATATTATATCCATAGAGGAAAAGCATACAATCTGCTATTTAATATATTTAAAGTATGAAAATGTATGACTAAAGTAAATACGCAGTAAGGGAAAGATTAATGTATATCGTTAAGAAAATCGCGCGATTTTATGAGAAACTACAGATTTGAACAGATTTCAACAAATTTGTGCAAATTTGTGTATATAATAAATAAATATATATATATCGTACATATACATACATATCTGTGTACAATCTTGAGTTTAAACTAAAATGCACATATACTTTAAGCAGTGTAATATATAATATGAAATATTAATAAGATAATATATACATTAAAATACATAAAACAAGACAAAAAATGAATCTCACGAGACTGTCAATAGTAATTAATTTATTTCTAATTCGATGAACACTTGTTCTGCTGCTGTGATCTTGTGCGGTTTTCTCAAATGCATATTTACGGTTCTAGCTAGCTTATACTTTGCGCGAGACACTACCGTGTCTCGTGATAGTCGCTATTCAAATCTACTTTCAAGAGCACAGGGTGAGATACTCAAAATCGAGTTTTGGTATATGGATAGTTAGTTTTATATCTTGATTAGAAACCAATTGCAACTATACTCAGCTGAAAAGTGAAGCGACACATAAAAAAAAGAGATCGAGTTAATGCGTTAAAAAAAGTGCAAAAACAAGAAACGTTTTTATCCCCTTCTAAAACAAATAAGAATAATGTTAAAGAAGCTTGGCAAAAATTGCGATCACTTCAGCGCCAGCAAGCCCTGTTAATAAAAAGGTAATAACTGAAAGGAAAATTATTAATATTTTTATTATCTCTATATATACTAATATTACCAAAATTAACTTGCTATATACACAGGCCACAGAGAAACAAGTGCGACGACTAGAGATGAATTTGAAGCAGCGACAAGTAGGCGAGTTGGCGAACGGGCGCCAACCTCGAATCGCACTGGATGGAGAAGCGATAAAAAACTGCGCACCAATAGATCTTGTGATTGGATGTATGTATCTGTATCTGTGCTGTGTAAAATCCCATCCATAAATAATTTGGATAATGTGCAAATTGACGAACGTAAAAATATATACACATCTTTTTATAAAAAGTCCACAACAGATTTCTATGCATAATTAAGACTTTCTAGAAATTGTCGTGGATCGCGCTGTTAACAAGACTTAAACTCTAATCAATCGATTTAATAATCACATCGATAAATTAATGTATTACTCTTTAATCCTCTTTGGCTATATAAATTCTGTAAGATTAGTATTAACAAGACTAATGAATATACAGAGTGATTTTTGTGTGCGCCGGCTTTTTACTTTAATAATATAGTAATTGCTTTCCAACTGACTACTCAAGTCGACACAAGTGTTATTTTGTCTTTATTTTTTTCAAGAACGACCTACACTGGCCAATGTTTTTATTTAAAAAAACAAACATCGATAAATTAATGTATTACTCTTTAATCTCTTTGGCTATATAAATTCTGTAAGATTAGTATTAGCAAGAATAAAGAATACAGTGTGAATAATGGGGTTTACCATGGGGGATATCGCAAATGCACAATTCAATCCTATTTTAAAGAATTGGCGTTCATCACAGATAAACGCAATTTGCTGTTGCGCGCAATAGGTATCTTGGCTCTTATCAACTACAATCGAACGAAGCTATTGTAAATTGGGTATCTACAAGGTATAGAAATAAGAGATCAGAAATAACTTATCCCCCTAAAGATGCGTGCGATTAGTTTTTGATAGGTTACTGCTCCCCCCCTCCCCCAAGTGGAAAATTTACATCTCGTCCTTATTATCCTTTAGCTTCCTCTTGAAACCTTTGGAGAGTAACAACTCGTTGCATTCTTCCCGGGTCAATTTGGACAATACCAATCTCTCTACCTCCTGCAACATTTTCAGAAGTTAATAATAGGGAATTGCGGATTATATTTTTTATGTCGAACCTCTTCCTGCTCGTTGAATAATACGAGTTCCGGTATCGCACCCTGGATATGCTTGAACTCCACATTGTCACTGTACGTGTATTAAGGAAAACAAGTGTTACAGTTCAAGGGAATCTTGATTAAACTTGTCAAACTTTTGCTTGCTGTTTTTTTTTAGGGGGGAACATTTCACACTTTTGGGTTTATCTTCCATCAAGAGATTTTTCAAATACGCACCAGATCTTCAGATGGCACAGAACATGCAATTTTTTTATACATATAAATTGTATGTACATAAAATTTTTTATTTCGCCTAACTTAGCCCGTTTTAACTCTCGAATGTTAATTAATTGTTCTAAACAATTTCAAGCGAGCGTGTTTACCTAATATACACGCATGTGTAAAGAATAAGACGAAATATAAAAAAATGAACAAGCTTCAAATAGGTCGTCGCTAACGACGTCGTTTAAAATAAACTACAAAAATATATAAGAACGCAAAAGAAGTGCACGTCATTGTAAAGGATACTATTGCGGTAGGTCCTCGAAAATAAACTGCTTGACATCTGGCAGCCGGTTGAGCGAGCAACCGCTACAGCTCTGGAAAACGAACAGCGTGAGATAACGACGGTGTGCGGCGAGTCAGCCGCGCGCGAGACGCGACCACGAACCCGCGAGACGTAAAATTTCATTCAATTGTAGCACGGAGACTGCTGCAATTACGATAATTGCAAAAAAAAGGAGTCGAACGCAACGTGACTAGTTCAGTCGATCATGTCCAACATTATTGATTTAATGTATGTGTACAACGGATTACGTTACCTCGACTCTCGCAGACGCGTAAAAAGCGCCCGCTGAATTCGCGGCAGAAACAAGAGAAACTGCGAGCAGCGCGAACGCAAATATGAGATGACAATTAACAATCGCGGTGGATGCCATGTTCGTCATTCGATTGTGCAATGGGAGAGCGGAAGTAGCGGAACAGGCCGCTTCCATGGAGGGGAAGGAATATGTGGCTCTCGCACACAGAACGCGGAAGCACTTGCCGCGGGAAGAATGCGATAGCCAATCGTTCCTTCTAACGGAGGCTCTAACAGAAAAGCGGCAGATTCGTTGGCTACCGCATCGCTTGCTTCCGCGCATAAAGCCTCCGCTACAATGATTCTCGGTTCTGTCTACAATGGTCGTAGTCGTAAGAATAATCGA